GCAGTATTGGGGGACTGTCGGAGACCTCTGGGGCGTCTTGGAGGCCGCGTGCATCGTCACAGGGCCACCTTGGACCGTTTTGCCGTGTGGCGGTCCCTTGGGGCCGTCTCGGGAGCCCCTCTAGGCTTTTGTGGGGCTTCCTGGGCGTTGTCTTGGGTAACTTTTTGGGCGTGTGGAGGCCCTCGTGGGCAGTTTTGGGGCCGTCCTGGAGGCTGCTGCGGCAGCAGTCTGGGAGGCGATCTAGTAAGCCCCTGGGTTCGTCGTGGGCCACATGACGCTCGAAATGGGGGAACCCCGAAGTCCGACGAAAACCTTGGGACAATCAAAGGTTTTTTCCCTCGGGCGACTCCTCTGGATCCTTCTTGGGAAATTTTGGGCCGTCCTGGAGGCTGCTTCAGCGCCGTCTGGGTGGCGATCTAGGAAGCCCCTGGGTTCGTCGTGGGCCACCGGAAGCTCCAAACGGGGGAAGAGCCCACGAATCCTCCAAACACGCTGGCGCGGGTTTTTCCCTAGGGCGGCCCCCTTGGGGCTCTCCTGGGGCCTTCTTGGGGGCCTGTTGGGTCGTGTTGCGGCCCTCTTGGGGCCACGCGGGAGCCGTCCTCGGACCCTCGTGCCCATCCTGGGAGTCGCGGCGAGGCCTCTGGGGCCTCCGCGGCGCCCAGGAAGAGTGCCGCGGCCGGTCCTGGGAGGGAAAGGTGCCCCGGGGCGGGGGGGCGGGGCAGTCCGAAAGGAGTCCCGGGATTTTCGCGTGTGTGTGTGTGTGTGTGTGTGTATAGGTGTGTGTGTGTGTGTGTGTGTGTGTGTGTATAGATGTGTGTGTGTGTGTGTGTGTGTTTGGCATCCGTCGTTTTCTATGCAGGACGTGCGTGTAGGTATAGGAGTATCTGTAGAGAGAGAGAGAGAGAGAGAGACAGAGGGAGAGAGAGAGAGAGAGATAGAGAGAGAGGGAGGCTGTGTGGATGGGAAGGAGGGGGAAACGGATGTGGGGAGTACCGGGTGGAGGCAGAAGGGGGAGAGGGATAAAGCGAGCGGAGGCGACCGGATCCCCTCTTGGATCGGCCACTGTCGGATGCGTACACGGTGCACGGGTTGAGACGGGGGTCTCGCTGCTCCTGCTGCTGATCCTCTTATTATTGCTTCTGCAGACGAGCAGTGCAAGGAGGAGTAGGAGCGGGAGGCAGAGAGCAGGTGGGGGAGGTGGGGTCTGATGATGATGGGGAGGAGGAGGAGGAGGAGGAGGAGGAGCAGGAGGAGGAGGAGGAGGAGGAGGAGGAGGAGGAGGATGAGGAGCAGGAGGAGGAGGAGGAAGAGGAGGAGGAGGGGGGAGGAACGATTGGGGTATGGGGGGAGCACATTTGCTCCGTGCGGGCCGTGCGTTCTCGCGGGCCCCCCTGCTCGTCCGCCGTGGCTCCAGCTCGTCCGTCGAGGCTTCGTTGGCCCTCTCGGCGCCCAGTTCGTCCTCATCCTACACTCGGCGTCACTCCAACATACTGCGCCCCCCCAGTTTTTTCTTACAAAGAAAATGCTACGCCCCCCCAGCGGCGACGCGCGCACCGAGAAATCTTATAGTACATGCGTCGTGGCGGGCGCTTTCTGGCCACACCGCTCGGGAAACGGTATACTACAAGATGGGTGTACTATATGTTCGGGTCGGACGCGTGCCTCCAGGGAGGACAGGTCGTATTAATATGTCTCTGTGCACCTCCCGCCCCCTCTGCCCCGTCGCGGACCTCGCTGTCCACGCCGAGCTCTTGGCGACGGCACTTTTGCTCATCCAGCCTTCGCTGCGCCGCTCTCTGCCCCTCGACGCTGCGCTCCTCGTTGGACGGCGAGCACCTCGGCCTTCATTCATCCCCCCCCCGCCCGGGTCAGGTGGAGAGCCTTAGCTCGATCATCCACGAGCCGGACTCGCAGGTCAACAGCCTCTACAAATCCATGATGGTGCGGCGGGGTCCCAACGTCCCTTCAGAGTGGGCGGCACCACCGCCTGTGGAGTCGTGCACGTGTCCCTGGTCGCCACGACTCACTGGCTTACGCCACACCGCCGACCCCTAACGGGCGCGTGGATGCCAATATCATAGCTTATCATAGGAAGTCGAGCAATGTGTTGCTATGATTCATCTTGTTCTCCTCCTTCTTCTCCTCTTCCTCTCCTCCACCTCTTTCCGCTTTTCCCGCTGTGAACCCCGATCGTTTTGATCTCACTTCCTCCTTTCCCGCCTCATCCATCCTCGATCGCAATAGTCCATCCTACGAGAAAGCCGCGCAGAAGACAGGTGTCCAGTGTCCCATAGCGTCAAGAACTGTGGCCGTTGCGCCTGCGATGGGCCTCTCGTCTGTCGTCGGGTCCTCTCTCTCTCTCTCTCCTCTTCCCCCCCTCCTCCTCCTCCTCCTCCTCCTCCTCCTCCTCCTCCTCCGCCTGCTCCTCCTCCTCCTCCTCCTCGTCCTCCTCCTCCTCCGCCTCCTCCGCCTGCTCCTCCTCCTCCTCCTCCTGTCCTCGATCCGTTCTCCCACCGATCTTGGCATCGGTCCTACGACAACGTCGCCCAGACGAAAGGCATCCAAGGCCCCGAGAGCGTTAAGAGCTGCTTACGCTCGCCAGGGGCCTCTCGCTTCTCGTCTCTCGACCAGCCCCCTCTCGTGGAGCCGGTTTGAAGCCCGTTGGGAATGCCTATGTGGCCAAACGTTGCGGCCAGAGCTTGGCCAGGCTATCGTACTATGTGTTCGCCCAGCCTTTGTGGAAACCCTCGGGGAACACGACGTGGGGGAGGAAGAGGAAGAGGAGGAGAAGGAGGAAAAAGGAGAAGGGGGAGGATGCCTCTTCGGAGCCTCTTGAGGCACTCTTGGGCTCGATTGGGCCATCTTGGGACCGTCTTGGAGGCCATGTTTGTGCTATCTTGGGCTCTCTTGGAGCCTCTTGAGGGCCTCTTGGGGCCTTTTTGGGACTTCTCGGGGGCCTCTTTGGCCGTCTTAGGGCGTTCCTGGCCCGTCAGACGCTGTCGGGAGCCGTCTTGGGGGCCTCTCTGAACCGGCTTGGGGCCCTCTTGGGGCGCTTCGGGGCCGTCTTGGAGGCCATCTTGGCGTCTTGGAGGCCTCTTGGCCTGTCTTGGGCCCTTTTGGGGCCGTCTTGGGGGCCGACCATCTTGGGCCAACGTGGCCATCTTGGCGCCATCTTGAGCCATCTTTGAGGATTTTTTTCCCGATTGAGCACCTTCCCGTGACCCCGGCGGGACGCGCCAGAGGCCCATGGGGGAATTGTTTTCGAAAAGAACCAAAACCAAAACCGAGAGGATACAGGGCGCCAGGCACCCCTGCGATGAATCGACAGGGGGCGGCGGATCGAAGACGCGTACGGCGAATCACCGCCGCCCCCTGCCTTTTTGGAAGTGCCTATGTGGCCGAACGTTGAGGCCAGACCTGCCAAGCTATCGGACCATGTGCTCCCCGAATCGGTTTAGAAAGCCTTCGTGTCTTGGGGGCCTCTTGGGGGCCTCTTGGGGGCCTCTTGGACCTCTGGGGGCCTGACTTGTGCCTCTTGGGTGCCCCCTGGGGCTTCTGGGGGGCTCTTGGGGGCCCGCGGGCGGTTTCGGGGGCCGTCTTGGGGCGGAGCCACCGCCCCCGATGTGTGTATGTGTGTGTTCTTTGATGTGTTTTTGTACTTCCTCTTGCTGCTGCTGCTGCTCTTCCTCCCCCTCCCACCGCAGTCAATTCCAACTCACACGCATGAGCGTTCCCAGCCACAACGTCCGAGTGACCAGGGAGGTGTGGATCTGGCGGACGGGGGGAGGGGCAGATGCGCTTGCTCGCCTCACCCTCCCGCTTTTCGGCGAACGTCGGCTTGGTGCCTGCCTCATCCCTCCTTGTTCTTCCCCCTGCCTCTCCCTCCGTCCGCCTTCTCCTCCCCCCCCTCTACGTCCTCCTCCTCCTCTTCCTCCTCCTCCTCCGCCTTGTCACTCTCCGTTTCAGTCCTCCAAAGCAACAGCCTGCAGACCAATGCCGCCTCAATGGCAACGGCCCTCGGGTTCATGCCGTCCCGCCCTTGGCAAAGGCCTGCCATTCAGTGCTGCCCCCTCCTCCAGGGCAATGGCCTGCGGGCTAATGGCGCCTCCACAGCAACATGCCTGCGGGTGAACACTGCCCCCCTTCCTTCCTCCTGTGGGTCAATGCCGCCTTCCCTCACCCCCCTCCCCCCTGTTGGCCGCCTGGCTCGCCGCGGCCGCCTGCTTCTCAGGGGGGAATCTTTGGGACGGCAGTGCCCTCCCCATCACGGCGTTGACGCGGCCATCCATTGCATTCAATGCGCAGAGCTGATGGGCGTGCGCTGCGAGAGCAACCCGATCAGGGGGGCTCGCCCTCAAAATGAAAACCGATTCTCAATGCTCCCTGGAGCTCGCCCCCGCCCGCCCCGCCCACTTGCCCAGGGTGGACCTCGTCGATAAGGATGCTCCCTCTCGGCGTGGCACCCTCTAAGCCCTTCCTGCCCCCCCCCCGGCTGCCTGACCGTGCAGGCGTCCTATCGGCTCTACAACAAGACGAGGCCTTCCGCGTCGAAGCAGAGCGTCCAGCGCGCGAAGCAGCTGCTGGCGGGGCCCGGGGCGCTCGAGCAGCAGCGAGGAAGAGGAGGAGGAGGAGGAGGAGGAGGAGGAGGAGGAGGAGGAGGAGGAGGAGGAAGGAGGGAGGAGGAGGAGGAGGAGGAGGAGGAGGAGGAGGAGGAGGAGGAGGAGGAGGAGGAGGAGGAGGAGGAGGAGGAGGAGAGGAGGGAGGAGGAGGAGGAGGAGGAGGAGGCAGGAGGAGGAGGAGGAGGAGGAGGAGGAGGAGGAGGAGGAGGGAGGAGGAGGAGGAGGAGGAGGGGAGGAGGAGGAGGGGGAGGGGGAGGGGGAGGGGGAGGAGGAGGGAGGAGGGGAGGAGGGGGAGGAGGAGATGGTGGATGATGGGAGCAAAAGGAGGAGGAAGGAGGAGGAGGAGGAGGAGGAGGAGGAGGAGGAGGAGGAGGAGGAGGAGGAGGAGGAGGAGGAGCAGCAGCAGCATGGAGGAGGAGGTAGGAGGAGGAGTGAGGAGGAGGAGGAGGAGGAGGAGGAGGAGGAGGAGGAGGAGGCGGAGGATGAGGAGGAGGGAGGAGGAGGGGAGGAGGAGGAGGAAGGAGGAGGAGGAGGAGGAGGAGGAGGAGGAGGAGGAGAGGAGGAGGAGGAGGAGGAGGAGGAGGAGGAGAGAAGGAGGAGGAGGAGGAGGCGGAGGAGGAGGAGGAGGAGGAGGAGGGGAGGAGGAGGAGGAGGAGGAGGAGGAGGAGGAGGAGGAGGAGGAGGAGGGAGGGGGTGGGGGAGGAGGGGGAGGAGGGGGTGGATGGATGAGGAGGAGAGGAGGGAGGAGGGAAAACAACCGTGTCCGCGGTTCGGTCGGTTCCGCTGCTTCACAGTCAGCCGCGCGCTGCCGGCTGGCCGGTTCTGTCGGTTGTCGTGTCGTTGCTCCGCCGCTGCGTCTTTCTGGGGCTGCCTTCGCCCTGTCGGCCCTGGTCGGTTGCGGTTTCGCCGTCGGTTCCGTGGGTTGTCGGTTTTGCCGTCGCCGTCGACGTCTAGGGGAAGATGGGAGAAGGGGGACGAGAGGAGGAGAGACTAGCAGAGGCGGATTTGGAGGATAGTGGAGGAGGGAGGAGGGGGAGACACGTCCGCGAAGGAGGGGGAATGAAGTGGACGAGGGATTGGATAGAGAGAGAGAGAGAGAGAGGAGGGGGAGAGCAGGGGACGAGAGGGGCCCGGAGGGGGCGGTGGACGAGAGAAGATGATGGAGGAGGGACAGGAACCGTTGAACTCTTCGCGTGACCCCCCCGCTTTCCCCCCACCTGAATTTGAACAGGTGGCCCGAGAACTAATAGCCAGAAAGGAGTTGGACCCCCACGCTTCCCGTGCAACTCCTAAATCCTTGCAATATTGATGCTGGGGGTGGAGGTGGGAACCCGTTTCTTCATTGTTCGGGCGCGGTTGTGACAGATTTGTTTCTTTCAGCCGATGTGACCCTGAACGGAAACTCAGTCCGATACATGATCCTCGCTGCTCCTTCTCCTCTTTCTTCTCCCGCCCGCCTCCCCCTCCTCCCTCCCTCCGCCCGCCTTCTCTCTCCTCCCTCCTCCCTCCTTGCCGCTCCTCCGTTCGCCCTCCTCCCTCCTCCCCCCGCCCCCCCCACCTCTGGGGGTCTCCGGAGGTCTCTGGAGGTCCGCGGAGGGCTCCTGCAGGCACATGGAGGCCCAGCAAGGGTCCAGAGACTCGCCACAGAGACCTCGTTCCTCGAACCCCCCCCTCCTTCTCCTGCTCCTCCTCCTCCGTCCTCGATCGTTCCTCCTTCCCCCTCTGCCCCCTCCCTCCCCGAGGCACCCACCAGCGTCCAGAGACGCACACGGCGGCGAGAGCGCCGCTCCGGGGCAGCACTCTGCCTGGCCGTGCCTGGAGCTCATCGGAGGAGGAGGAGGAGGAGGAGGAGGAGGGGGGGTGGATGGAGGAGGAGGAGGAGGAGGAGGAGGGAGGAGGGGAGGGAGGAGGGAGGAGGGAGGAGGGAGGAGGGAGGAGGGAGGAGGAGGAGGAGGAGAGGAGGAGGAGGATGAGGAGGAGGAGGAGGAGGAGGAGGAGGAGGAGGAGGAGGAGGAGGATCAGGAGGAGGAGGAGCCTGCCTGGCCGTGCCTCTCCGCGTGAGCTCTTGCGCTGTGCGGCGGCCCTCGGCGCTCCCCTCGGCGCGCCTCTCGCCGGCTGCAGCCCGCGGCGGCCGCGGCGGGCCCGGCGCGGCGGGCCCGGGGCGAGGACGCCTGCGGCGGGCCAGCGCAGCTGCAGCTCCTCATCCACCCGGCCTTCCGCGGCAGCGAGGCGGGCGCGCGTCCGCTGCTGCGGCTGCTCCTCGGCTGATTCTGCGCTGCCCGCATGCCGCCGCATGCCGCCGCATGCCGCCGCCGCCGCCCGCCGCCGCCGCCGCCGCCGCCGCCGCCGCGCCGCGCCGCCGCCGCCGCCGCCGCCGCCGCCGCCCGCCGCCGTCGTCCGTCGTCAGTCGTCGTCGTCGTCGTCGTCGTCGTCGTCGTCGTCGTCGTGTCGTCGTCGTGTCGTCGTCGTCGTCGTCGTCGTCGTCGTCGTCGTGTCGTCGTCGTCGTCGTCGTCGTCGTCGTCGTCGTCGGTCGTCGTCGTCGTCGTCGTCGTCGTCGTCGTTCTCGTCGTTTTCGCCGCTTTCGTTTCGTCGTTTCATCGTCGTCGTTCTCATCGTCGTCGTCCTTCTCCTCCTCCCCTCTTCTCCTCCTCCTTCTTCCTCCTCCTCCTTTTCCCTTTTTCCTTTCCTCCTCCTCCTCCTCCTCCTCCTCCTCCTCCTCCTCCTCCTCCTCCTCTAGGATCGTTCTTTGATAGGCTTGATTTGAGCCCCTGCCTTTTTAGAGGCCTCTGGCTGTGGGGGCCTCCGGAGACATCTAGGAACCTTCCGGGAGATCTGGCCCTCACGCCGTCTGTCCCCTAACTGGTTTGCGCAGGAAGACCCTCGAGCCGCGAACCGGGGAGAGGCGATGTGGTCTAGGTACGGGAGCACGGGCAACAGCAGCTCGGGCTCAGAGTTATGCATTCGTGCGCGGGGGGGGGAAGGGTGGAGAAGGAGAAGGAGGAGCCCTTTCCGCATGCCTCTGCCGCTCATCCCCCCTTCTTCCTTACCTTGTTTGCATCCGTGTCGGCACCGCCCGCCAGGTGAGGTGCCTCTTCCCCGCCTTTTCTTCCTTTTGCTGTCTGTAGCCATTTTGCCCCCCCAGTTGAAGCGGCGCCGCTTGCGTCGCGCCTGTCGCCCTCTCGCTGGCGGCCGGGCGTCGGCGCTAATCACCGGCGCCGCCGCCGTGTGTTTCCATTTTGCGGGCGCCCCGCCCCCGCGAGTCGAAATGGTGTTAGAACTGGCGGCCCAACTCCTTCCGCTTTGGCCAAAGGGTGATGTTTCAGCCAGATGTAGAGTACGTAGCCTCCTCCTCAGGCCAAGTCGGCTGCACCGGTCCACGACTGGACCTGGGTGGGGTCCTGGTGGAAATGCCTAGTCTGTTTTCGGGGGGAGCGGGGTGAAAGTCGTCCTCCGCCAGGCCGCTGCTCCAAGCCCATTCGACTCAACACTGAAACGGGTCGGTCGCGTGAAGCATCGCTGTGCAGTTGTGGATTTTCTAGATGGGTCTTTTTTTGTGTATTTGTTTCGATCGCCACTTTTGCAGTGCGGGTGGTTGAGTGTTGAAGTTGAGGGAACCTTGCCAGGGGAAAGAGTTGCCAGGTACAGGGCGTGCAGCTTGGTCCTTTCGTTTGCCACCACAATGCAATCACCCCCATCATAGCAAGAGGGGAGTGAATGTCAACTTCCTTCCCTCGCGGTGAAAATATTCTCTTCTGTCCTACGCCACGGTGCTTTATCTTGTTTCCCGCGATGGGTCCGACATGTGCGATTCGGTGTCTGGTTCGGGCTTATCTGATCGGGAAAAGGATGATGATAATGATGCGGGAGGAGGCGGGGAGGAGGAGGAGGAGGAGGAACAGGAAGAAAAGGATGCGGAGGAGGAGAGGGAGAGGGAGGTCGAGGAAGAGACACACGGAGCGAGAGAAAGAGAGAGATAGAGAGAGGGAAAGAGAGAGAGAGGGACAGAAAGCCACGCCATTGAGAGTGTGTAAGGTGGCGTCCTTCTCTGGGAGTTTTCAGATGTTCTTCTGGGGGTCGTCCTGTTGGGAACGTTTTGGTTTCATGGGTGCCCATCGCATGAGCCCAACGAAGCATGTGTGCCCCGAGCCAGCCAGCACGTGTCCGCGTGACACGAAACGCCCCCGCTCCGACGTTTTTGCTTTATCCTACTCGTCCTCTTTTTCATGGTCCCCCTCGTGGTTCCCCTCTCGTTCTTTCCTCCTCCTCCGCCTCCTCCGCTTCCTCGTCCTCCTCGTCCGCCTCGTCCTCCTCCTCGTCCTCCTCGTCCTCCTCTTCTCCGTCCTCATCCTCGTCCTCCTCGTCCTCCCCGTCCTCCTCCTCGTCCTCCTCGTCCTCCTCGTCCTCCTTGTCCTCCAGTCCTATTCCTCGTCCCGCGATCGGCCTGACTCCTCCTCGTCCTCCTCTCGTGTCCCTTTGCGCTGTTCTCGGCGGAGGAGGCCCAGGGTCTCTGTCCCCGGAGCTCTCCAGAGGTCCCACTCGGGCCTCTGGGAGCCCAGGAGGTCACCAGAGGCATCCGGATTTTTTTTTTGGGGGGTGGCAGAATTCCATCTAGGCCTTCCAGATGGGGTCCGAGCAGATGGGGTCGGAGAATCGCGCCGCATCGCCGATGCACCGGCGATGCGGCTTGATGTGGAGCACGATTTTCTCCACGCCTACGTATCGCCGACATTGCCGATGCATCGTCGGTGATGCATTGACGATGCGGCGCGATCCTCCGAACACATCTGCTTGGACCCCATGTGGGAGGCCTTTCTTCCAGGGGTCCGAAAAGTTCCTCAAAAGCTTCGGTACACGTCCTCAATGTCTGATCCTCCTGAGGGTTCAGAAGACGTGAAGGACAGACGGAGGATCCTGATTAGGGTCCAGCGGGAGGAACCTCGTGGAGGATCCTCCTCTTCTCGGGACGGGAGCAGGAGGATTCACGCCTCAGGACGGGAGGGGGATTCTTTGAACGGGAGGAGGGGGAGGGGGATCCTCCTGCCCCCTCCCCAGTTGCGAGCAGCACGCGCCACGGACTTCGACGACGACGGTCCACGAGGTGTGCAGACGATCCGCACCGGAGCACGGATTTGGGAAAAGGGCGCTTTATGTGAGTCAACTACACTTGAGAGTGTCGGGGGTGGACAGAACCCCCAACAGTGACACGTCGATTAGTGAATTGTCCTTTTTCGGTTCTCGAGAGGGCGCCGCGGCCTCAGGTCGTTTTCACTAAACCACGTTTTACTAAATGGAGGTCTGTCCATCCCCGCGAGTGACCCTTCGCCGGAGTGACCCAGTGACCTTTGGTGCGGGCCCACTGGGGCCCCCGATCGCCGAACGC